AACTCCAGAGTCGTCTGCGACTGGACCTAATGGTCAGGGGTCCCTTTGCCTTTACTATCTAAATTAAAATACAGCTTCCAGCTTTGAGGTTTTACTACATAGCAGTTGAATTCTGGTTTGATTCTGTATTATATATGGGAGTAAGAAGCCTACTTCATGCTCCTCTGTTGCCAGATCGCTTTTATTGTTTGACTCTCCTGGTCCTACATTCTAGTTTGTGTTTTGGTTAGAGTAAAAGTGGCTGTTCTGCATTGACCAGAGTACTTCCAAGATCTCATCTGACTCCAGAATGCTATGAATGATACGATTCTATGAAAACTTTGAGACACCTCCCTAATTTCTGACCCTGAGGACAGACTGTTTAGGAATGGATCTACATGAGTTTGTATTAGGGATAAAGGGACCCCTGACCATTAGGTCCAGTCGTGACCGACTCTGGGGTTGCGGTGCTCATCTCGCTTTACTGGCCGAGGGAGCCGGCGTACAGCTTCCGGGTCATGTGGCCAGCAGGACTAAGCTGCTTCTGGCAAACCAGAGCAGCACATGGAAACGCCATTTACCTTTCCGCCAGAGTGGTACCTATTTATCTACTTGCACTTTGACGGGCTTTTGAACTGCTAGGTTGGCAGGAGCAGGGACCAAGCAACGGGAGCTCACCCCGTCACGGGGATTTAAACCGCCGACCTTCTGATCAACAAGTCCTAGGCTCTGTGGTTTAACCCACAGCGCCACCCGCGTCCCTCTGTATTAGGGATATGCAGCCCAAATTATGAAGTGAATTTGGGTTTTCACATGTTTGTGTTGGACTGTATCAGTAATAAGGCATCTCACATTGCACCAGGGACCCTCTAAAGTCTGATGTTGATCTGTGGACTTAGCCACTCCCTCCCCCCAAACCACAACATTTTCCTATATAACATAAAGCAACTATTGCAATTAAACAAAAAACACCCTGAGCTCAAGTGGGAAGAGGGTGGAGAGGTGGGCTTTTTTGGTGGTTTTCATGAGAGCGAAATATTCTTCCAAGGCATACATATTACAATGATTTGGAGGAGGAATGTTGAAGTAAATAAAAAGCATTTGTTTCCTTGATGCTGTTCTGTGAGTTCTGCCTGAGAAAGCAGGGGGCTTGGAAGGAGAGTGGACTGTTGGCATTCTTCCCAGTTGCTTTCTGTTTCCTAGCAAACAACTGAAAATCAATACTTCAATCAATTTGACTTCATTCTGCTGTTTTTCATTTTTTTCAGATTGTGTAAGTTTGGTTGTTATTTTGCAAACTTTTAGCAGGGATCAGTATAGGGTCATTCCATTTTACCCCTGCCTTAGCTCAGTTGTACGGCTTTTATTTATGTGATTTATTTATTTGTTTGTTTCTATTTTTATTCTAATCACATTCTGTTTTTTCAACAAAGAACACCTGCTATAATTACTTGTTTTTAATTCTCTTTGTTCCATTTTATTTTTCCTTTTGTTTGTCTTCAAAAAAAAACATGCCTTGTTGCTTAATGTGTCTGTTGCTTTTATTTTGTGATTTAGTTGAATACTTTAAAAATATCAAGAATACTCAAGGATGTTGAGACCTTCTGAGAGTTGCTATGGGCCACCACCTTAAAACCTCTATGCATAGAATCTGCAGTCTGCCTAGTCAGAATGAAACCCGGATGGATGGATGGATGGATGCATGTATTTATTAATTAAATTTCTGTACTGCCATTCATCCAAGGATCACCTGGCAGTTCAAAATATAAAAAGACAAAATTACATACCAAAGCAACAAACAAAACAGTAACCCCCACCACCTCAGTTTAAAAGGCCATAGATGGTTTAATTAGCCAAAAGCCTGGGAGAAGAGGGATGTTTTTGCCTGATGCCTAAAGATTTGTAAGGAAGGCCCCAGGTCAGCCTCCCGGGAAAAAGGGTTCCCAAATGGGGAGCCACCACAGAAAAGGCCCTTTTCATGTTACCACCCACCAGACCTCTTGTGAGGGAGGCCAATGAAGAAGGGTTTCAGAGGGTGATCACAGGGTCCAGGTTGGTTCATATGGGGAGAGGCAGTCCTTGAGGTATTGCACTCTATTAGGAGCCCCCAAAAATTTAAAGGGGGGTAAAACCAGATGTACATTTCCAAAATATAAGATAAAAACAAATAAAACAAAACCTACATACAGCAACAGTGTTTTGTGTTGTGATGGCTCCTATGATGTAAGTAATGGGCCCTGCCTGCTAGCCTGCTCCCTAAAAGTACAGATCGACAATTGCTTTGATAAAATACATATTTTGTTATGTGCAAATGGCTTTAGATACCTATTAGGTCCATAAATTACCATATGGCATATATTCAACACAAAAAAACCAGTGACAATTTGTTGTTGACAAAGGACAGCTGGACATATAAAAGGCCCCATTACCTTCAATGGGTGGCATTGTGGGTTAAACCACAGAGCCTAGGACTTGCCGATCAGAAGGTCGGCGGTTCGAATCCCCGTGATAGGGTGAGCTCCCGTTGCTCGGTCCCTGCTCCTGCCAACCTATCAGGTCGAAAGCACGTCAAGTGCAAGTAGATAAATAGGTATCGCTCCGGCGGGAAGGTAAACGCTGTTTCCGTGCGCTGCTCTGGTTCGCCAGAAGTCATGCTGGCCACATGACCCGGAAGCTGTACGCCGGCTCCCTCGGCCAATAAAGCGAGATGAGCACTGCAACCCCAGAGTCGGTCACAACTGGACCTAATGGTCAGGGGTCCCTTAACCTTTTACCTTCAGTAGCTTAGGGCCTCATCAAACCTAAATCCAGCCCTGATTGCAGTCCTGAGCCATTTAAGGCTTTATAGGTCAAAACCAGCACTTTGAATTGGGCCCTGGAAGGTAATTGGCAGCCAGTGCAGTCTGGGCAGGATCGGTGCAATATGCTCAAACTGTACTGAGGTATCACCACACCACCATATTCAATCTTGCAGTAAGGACAGCAAAGAGGAGCTTCAGACCTGGTTAATCAAGAGGGTTGCCATGAGCCCTGTGTGGGATGGGTGATCTGCCAGAGGGAGAAAGGGATTCTGAGATGGGGGGCAGAGGCAGTTCAAACACCTTGCTTGCCGTATCCACCATCCCTGCAAATCGGAACGGTTCAGACCAAGCCGTGCAATCGCTGCTTGCCAGTCCGCTGCTAAGTCATTGTGGGGTGATTTAAAGTAACGAGCAATGTCTCCACCATTTGACAGGTTGTTAGTTTCACGCCTTTCCCTGGTCGGAGCCCATCCTGCACGGTATCAGTTTCATTGGCGCTTGACAGCCCCAACTAAGAATGTTCTCTTTCAGGCAGATCTAATTCAGGGGGTTTTGTATGTCTCCTACCAGATGCCAGTTGCATTCCCCTGTTAGATTGTCCGTCTCAACAACTTAGCGCATCTAAGTTATGTTGGTATAGAGCAAAAAGGACCTTGGTGGGTATGGGAGAGATTAAATTATACAGCCATCTTGCACGCTGGCAAGCCGCCACCCCCACGACATACATTTTGGGGGACTGGCGTCTACTTCATCAGGTGCCTCTGTGACTATGGCACTTATGAGCAAAGAAACCACTTTGAAAGGGTACATAACTTGAAAAGAAGGATAAAAATATGTAAAACAGTGATTTATTATAGATAGATGATAGATAGATAGATAGATAGATAGATAGATAGATAGATAGATATAGATAGATAGATAGATAGATAGATAGATGATAGATATAGATAGATGATAGATGATAGACGATAGATAGATAGATGATAGATAGATAGATAGATAGATAGATAGATAGATAGATAGATGATAGACAGACAGACAGACAGACAGATAGATTAGATGATAGATAGATAGATAGATAGATAGATAGATAGATAGATAGATAGATAGATAGATAGATAGATAGATAGATAGATAGATAGATAGATAGATAGATAGATAGATAGATAGATAGATAGATAGATAGATAGATAGATAGATAGATGATAGATAGATAGATAGATAGATGATAGATAGATGATAGATAGATGATAGATAGATAGATGATAGATAGATAGATGATGATAGATAGATAGATAGATAGATAGATAGATAGATAGATAGATAGATGATAGATAGATAGATAGATAGATGATAGATAGATAGATAGATAGATAGATAGATGATAGATAGATAGATAGATAGATGATAGAGATAGATGATAGATAGATAGATAGATAGATAGATAGATAGATAGATAGATAGATGATAGATAGATAGATAGATAGATAGATACAGATACACACACACACACACACACACACACACACCAGGGAATCTTGGAGGTTTAGATGTACCTTTTATGTGCTTTCTACTTTTGAGGAGGCAGCATCACAAAGTGTGAGAAGGCATCTTGAATCTCTGCCTTATGTTTAGTACAAAGATCGTTGGCCTTGACTATCTTCAGGTTGCTAACAGCTCTTAGTATTTATTACTGTTGCATGTACTGGGTACGGTCTAGCTCATCTCATGGTCTAGGTGGGCTCTCTTAATGGAGAAGTGTTTCTCAGGTTGCACTGATAAGTTGCGCTTCCTTGCTATTCACTGTAGTCAGTGGCGTCGCAACGGGGGGGTGGTGTGCCCCAGGTGCCATGTCTGGGGGGGATGACAAGAAGGCACCCCGCGGGGGCTCGTGGCAGTGTGAGCAGCCATTGCGCCGTCGCAGCCACATGTGGAGGATCCTCCATTTGCGGCTGTAGCCACGAGCAGAGGATCCCAGCACCATCCGTATGGCGCTGGAGCGGCACTGCCAGCAAACCACTATGTACAGCGCATGTGCAGCATTGCTACGTTTGGCGCATGCGCCGTATGTAGCGACGCCGCACATGTGCCGTACATAGCAGTTTGCTGCCCTGGGTGTCACGACGCCTTCATTCGCCCCTGATTGTAGTGGCAACATTTTACAGTTCACCTATGGAATATGTTTTTGTGATTTCTTGTTTTGTTTTTGTTTTTGCGCAGTTACCTCATCGCCGAGTGACATTCTCTGCAGCCAATCAGGCGCAAGATCTGCAGGACCCCTCCCAACACAGTTACTATGACAGTGGCCTTGAGGAGTCAGAAACACCAAGCAGCAAGTCGTCATCGGGGCCCCGCATTGGACCACTGGCTTTGCCGGAGGATCACTATGAGCGCACCACACCAGACGGCAGCATTGGGGAAATTGAGCACCCTGAGAATGGTAAGGACCCTGCTCAAAATGGCTAAGGCTCTTTAGGAAACCCACCAGTATGAGTAGATCTGTGTCCCACTTGCCAAAGAGCGTGCACTGCTGCTACCAAAGCAAGGAAGAGAGCAGGATTGTGCATCGGACGTGAACAGTGGCGGGGAAATACTTTAATAGTAAATTTGCTGTAAAAATTTGGGACAGATCAATATCCAAAGAGTGGATAGGGGAAGGAATGAAAGGAGCAGAAGACACACAGAGAGGGTTTCAGGACATGAGCTTTGTAGCAGACTATTCAGCATATGGATGGATTTACTCCATACCATTCCATGAGTTTGCTATGATCTGCATTCTGTGCAGTCTACCTTCCCACTTAACTTGGTGTAATTCTCAACATAATTTCCGATTTGGTGCATGCCTTTTTTTGTGCACCGTTTTCAGTTTGCATCTATGTTCTTGCTGCTGGTGGTTACTGATGCACACCAGAACATATGTACAGTGCAAAAAGGGACCTTGATGTGATGACACAATAGGATTCGCATTCCTTTCCGTGCTGTAAATTTGTCAGTCCCCAGTTGTACTGGTGCACATCAGTAAACTGTAAGAAAAGAAAATGCAGCCTGTGGACTTTTTAGAAAACTGCAAAGTCCAGAAAACAAAGTGGAAGAATAGCAGATCACTAATGCATCAACATGGGACATGGGTGGCGCTGTGGGTTAAACCACAGAGCCTAGGGCTTGCCAATCAGAAGGTCAGCGGTTCGAATCCCCATGATGGGGTGAGCTCCCGTTGTTTGGTCCCAGCTTCTGCCAACCTAGCAGTTCGAAAGCACATCAAAGTGCAAGTAGATCAATAGGTACCACTCCAGCGGGAAGGTAAACGGCGTTTCCGTGCACTGCTCTGGTTTGCCAGAAGCAGCTTAGTCATGCTGGTCACATGACCTGGAAGCTGTACGCCGGCTCCCTCGGCCAATAAAGCGAGATGAGCATCGCAACCCCAGAGTCGGCCACGACTGGACCTAACGGTCAGGGGTCCCTTTACCTTTAATGCATCAACACTTATGTAGAAACGAAACCCCAAAACACAGACAGAAATTTGCATGTTGAGCAGCAGCTCTGGTACATGCTTGCCTTTGGCTGCTAAGGATTAAGGAAATAGGAGGGAAGAAAAAGAGGAGGCCAAAAATAACCCACCTCAATTTATTATTAAGATTTCCAGCACCACTTGAATGAAATAATACACCCCACTGAATTTTAATGGCGGGGGGAGGGGCAACAAGAGGTTAAGTAACAAGGAGAGAAGATGTTTGTGTGTGTGTGAAAGTTTTGAGTGTGAGTGTGCTTTTGGGGAATGTGTGTAAAAGAGAGTTGTGGATGATCCTGAAAGAGAGAACTGTGAGTTAAGGAATGTTTTTATGCTTTTGGCATCAGCCCCCACCTCTGCCTTTGTCCTTGGGTTCTGGGGCAAGTTAACTGTCTCCTTAGTTAGTATCACCACCTTTCCTTCTGTGAAATGGGTTCCTGTTGGAGCATAAAACTGGCTTAAAAGAGGTGATTTTGCGCATTGGGTATCAGATCCTTTCCCCTGCCTTGCACTCAGGTTTGGCGACACATACGTTTCATGGTCTTGCAGAGAGATTGTTCGTTTGTTTATTAAATTTATAGCCTGCCCTTCCTCCTGCAAGAACCGGGGGGGGGGATATATATAAAATACCTGCATTTAGGTGTTACATCATTCTGTGCTAAAATAGAGTATCCACAAGTAAATCCAGTGCCAGAAACAAGTAAAAAGATGTCTGAAAGACAAGAATATGAACAGGTAAGGCTTGCCTCACAATTGTATTCCCACGCTAGAAAAGGCTTGCCCTGTTTAATTTGTGCCAGCCACACAGTCGTTAAAAGCACAAGAAATCATTCACTTTGTTCCTGTTCCTGTACTTCTCACTGCCAACTGCTTCTGTTGGAAGAGAACAAATCTCTTAATCAGGGAAGATACAGAAAATCCCTCACATTCCTTCCTTCTGGTTGCTTAGCAACAGTGATTAAGTGACTAAGCATCCTTAGCAACAGCGGTGCCTCCATATCTGCCTAATAAACCTTAGAATGTTGCCTCCATGTTCTGCTTTCTTTAAAGATGTCGAACTGACGCCTTTTTAAAAATGTAAGCTAGGAGCCCAATGGAGGCAGGGAGAGAATGAACTTGAAGATGAACTAGAAATTATTCAAAGTTCCACTCCAAAATGAACTTAATTCACCTTTAGTTTACCTGGCAACTTTGGGAAACTACTTTTGTGTGTAGTTCAGATTTTTTTTTTTTTTTAAGCTAGTTCAGTGAACTTGGTTCAACTAAAGGAGTTCATTCCAAGCACTGAGGATCCCTCCACCTTGTTCTGCATAGTACCTCAATCCAGGTGCTGGATTTAAGGTGCTGCCTTAAATGTACCTAACATAATGTAACATAAGGAAAAAGGATAAGTCCCTCATTTGATGATTTTATTCACTAAGCAAGTCCAGGTATTTTATGTCCACAAAAAATCCATAGCTGACAGCTCCAACTGGTTTCCCTCAGACCTTCAGAATATCTTGAAGAACAACATTTTTGAGCCATTCTGCAAGTTTCACATACCATTTTGATAGAGTTGGGTAGTAGAATTCTAGACACTGGGTGATATTCAACTAAGTTTTACTTAAAGTAGACTCACTTGTTGAAGTTCATGGGCCTAAGTTAAGCCATGTTCATTAATTTCAATGGGTTTACTCTGAGTAAAACATCAGATTGCAGATGGGGGGGAAGGGTCATATTTTTGGATACTTCCTCACGTAAAAACTCCCTGCATGTAAGCTCCGGGGAGGGGAATGAAATTGGACAAAATACCTGTCGAAGTGCAGTATACTCTGTCCATTTATTATTCATTACATTTATTTATATCAGGATACAAATCTTCCCAATGTAGCTTTGAAGTAACATAAAGATACATCAACAAAATCACAATAATAATATTGTTTACTCTTTTTATCCACACACCATAATACAGTAATGTACGCATGCATCTGTATACCATTGCACTATAAGAACTACCGTATTTTTTGCTCTATAAGACTCACTTATTCCCTCCTAAAAAGCAAGGGGAAATGTGTGTGCGTCTTATGGAGCAAATGCAGGCTGTGCAGCTATTGCTGAAGCCAGAACAGCAAGAGGGATCGCTGCTTTCACTGCGCAGCGATCCCTCTTGCTGTTCTGGCTTCTGAGATTCAGAATATTTTTTGTTTTGTTTTGTTTTGTTTTCCTCCTCCAAAAACTAAGTGCGTCTTGTGGTCTGGTGCGCCTTATAGAGCGAAAAATACGGTATATGTTGCTGCTGTTTAGTCGTTTAGTTGTATCCGACTCTTCGTGTCCCCCATAGACCAGAGCACGCCAGGCACTCCTGTCTTCCACTGCCTCCTGCAGTTTGGTCAAACTCATGTTCGTAGCTTCGAGAACACTGTCCAACCATCTCGTCCTCCGTCTTCCCCTTCTCCTTGTGCCCTCCATCTTTCCCAACATCAGGGTCTTTTCCAGGGAATCTTCTCTTCTCATGAGGTGGCCAAAGGATTGGAGCCTCAGCTTCACGATCTGTCCTTCCAGTGAGCACTCAGGGCTGATTTCCTTCAGAATGGAGAGGTTTGGTCTTCTTGCAGTCCATGGGACTCTCAAGAGTCTCCTCCAGCACCATAATTCAAAAGCATCAATCCTTTGGCGATCAGCCTTCTTTATGGTCCAGCTTTCACTTCCATACATCACTACTGGGGAAACCAGAGCTTTAACTATACGGACCTTTGTCAGCTATATAGTGAATTCTTAATGAGTGGCTGGACTTCACCTCCTGCAGAGAAGCATCCTCTTTGCAAAGTTTTCACATTTTGCATTTCCACTTGCTGTGCTGTAGTATTTGCAGAACATAACTGAGGAGGAGTCCCTGTTCTCAGGTGAACCATCATAGTAAACATGTAGCCTAGCTTCTAAGATGAATGGAAGGACTGGCTCCAGGTTGTTGTAGTTCTTTAGGCAACCAAGCATTAGTAGACCCCCTTTGGCACCGCCCCTTGCTCCTTGTTGATCCAGATCCTGAACCAAAAGCGTAGACTGCTCTATTGGACTGCTCCATTCATTATGCTCTCTTTGTGTCAATAGTGTTTATATCCTTCAAACTATACAAACCCCATTACTGAATATTCCAAAGACACTTACCAAGGAAGAAGCCCCCACACAGAACATAGTGGGACTTAATCCTGAGCAGACATACAAAGCATTCTGTGGCACAGATCTGCTGCAAAGTGCACTGTTTGTCTGCCAGCCTGAAATTCCAGTGGGTGGCTATAGACTGTGAGGAAAGATGGATCTGAGATTTGGAGGTGATGCATCTAAGGAGGGAAGAACTCACAATAGCAAGGGGAAGAAAGAGAGACATGATTAGGCTGGAAACAGAAGATGGAGAAGCAGGGAGACCCTGAGGGTTTAGCTAGGCTTGCTTGCCAAGAGAGAAGGGAGATTTAATACCTGCCCTTGGGTGGCGGCTTAATGTGTTGGCGTCAAGGCAGTAGAAACAATTGAAACAATTTGTCTTTGTTTTGCACCACCCGCATGCTCTCTCCTTCTGTCTTAACCACTGATTATCCAATGCCTGAAACCTTTGGGTCGTAGCCAATGTTATTTCTACCCAGAGTAAACCCACTGAAATGAATCGACATGACTAGCTTAGCCCCATTAATTCCAGTGCCTTACAGGCCTCTTCCAATTCCTTCACTTGGGATCTGTTTGCAGGGCTGTTGCCTGCTGCATTGACCTCCAAATCTTTTTCCTATAGTGCTTCTGACTCTGAGGTAGGGAGGGCGACCAAAATGATCAAAGGTCTGGAAACCATGCCTTATGAGGAACGGTTGAAGGATCTGGGTATGTTTCGCCTGGAGAAGAGGAGACTTGAGAGGAGATAGGATAGCCATCACCAAATATATTAAGAGCTGTCACATGGAAGATGG